ACAGACTTGGGTGTAATTTTTATTATTTTTAATGTTCGTTGTATTACCATGGTTGAAGGTAAATAGGTTGGAAATATTTTTTGCAAAAAAATTTAAATATGATCCAGTTTTTCATTTGTTTCCACCAATAATCTCTAAATGCATGTGCCATATACTAGTGTTCTTTTAGGGGTTGCCATATACTAGTAATAATAATAAAAAAATTAACACATCACCTAGTAATAATAACTGATTTTAGGCGAACCAACCAATGATTGGATGGTTAGAGGGACTGTGGTACTTTCAGTCCATCAGAGTTCAAATCCTGGTGCTCGCATTTATTCCTGGATTTATTTCAGGATTTCCGACGATGCGCATTTAGTGCGAAGAGACGTTCCCGCCGCCGACGAGGTGCCTATGATGACTTCGTAAATCTCAAGATGATACGCCGGCTCAGTATTTCGAAGGTGTTTATAGGATAGCTTGTGTCTCAGCGCTTGTGTCTGTACTGATGTTAAAAAAAATAACTGATCTTGAGTAGCTCGCACATCCGGCCCGCATTTGGCCTACAGGCCCATCTGAGCAAGAACAAACCCATCCTCAACTACCCAAAACCCATCACGCTCACACACACCCACCCCACCTCGCACCACCCGGAACCCACTGCAGCCGCTAGGGTTTTACGCAGATGGCCGCCTCCGCCGCAGCCACCGGAGCCCGGAGGCTCCTCGCCCGCCGCGCGTCCTCCTCCCCCGTCTCCATCTCCGCCCTCCTCCGCCGCGGGGGCGCGGCGGCGGCGGCGGCGCCCCACGAGCCGCTGCTGCGCCCGGCGGCGCTCGCGGGCGTCGCCTCCCGCCTCGGCTTCCTCCGCGGGATGGCGCGCCGGCCGGGCGGCGACGGCTACTCGCCGGCCCGTTCCGGAGGAGGAGGAGGCGGAGGGGACCGCGCGCCCACCGAGATGGCGCCGCTGTTCCCCGGGTGCGACTACGAGCACTGGCTCATCGTCATGGACAAGCCCGGCGGCGAGGGCGCCACCAAGCACCAGATGATCGACTGCTACATCCAGACCCTCGCCAAGGTCCTCGGAAGGTGCGCCCCCACCCGACCCGACCCGACCCTGATGTGTTCCCCTCATTTCTGTTCCAACTTTCAGATAAACACATGATTGCTGTGAGACAGGGTAGTGTAGTTCTGTATCTAACTCTTATTTTGGTTTGTCTTGTCCCGGATGAAGCGAGGAGGAAGCCAAGAGGAAGATTTACAACGTCTCCTGTGAGCGATACTTCGGTTTCGGGTGTGAGATTGATGAGGAAACATCCAACAAACTGGAAGGTTTGTTGTCCTCCCTCTGTACCTAGCATTACCCTCTTGTTTCTCTTTAGATAGAAGACTAATATATCTAACACCCCGTTTGGTATGTCACAGGCATTCCTGGTGTTCTGTTTGTGCTTCCTGATTCTTATGTTGATCCCGAGCACAAGGACTATGGAGGTAGGTGTTCTTCCTCAACCACTGCAGTTTTCCTTTAGGGGGTCAGATCATCTTGTGATATCTATATCATTTATAGCCTTCTAGGTGTTCCACATGATTAGTTATAGTACAGAATGGTTCTTATAATTGTAAAAACATAGAGTGACCCCTTTGTCAAGTGGCAATGTGATGAAGCCCATACACGCAATGTCTCGTTTAGGTGTAATGAACCACTGAAATGGGAGTGTGTATCTACCATAGCTAGAGTAACAGTTCATCCGAAAGGCGGGCCTAGCGCAGTGGTAGACTCTCTCCACTTGTTGCCTGGAGGTCCTGGGTCCGAACCAGCCTTACAGAATTATTGTGCAAGGGTAAGGATGTGTAGAAATTTTCTTTCCAGGCTCCACTTTGTGTGGGAGATTTGAGCACTGGGCATGCCCTTTTTTAGAATGGCATTTCTTCTGATCCAGACCTAGTCGCTGAATGCTCTAGCCCATCTGAAAATTTTGGAAGTCTTGCAGGCAATGTCCTGCTTTGAATGTCGATGAACTAAGATAAAATTTGTCTCTCTAATGGATCATCACCTTGGTAAAATGTGGTTCGGATCAGTGGAGATTAGATACTACTGGCACATCGCACATTTACCATTAATCTTTTTTGGAGTTTTGGCCAGTCACTATTCTTCAACAAATTTGTAACTGTTGTCCATCTTGTTGGCAAACATGGAAGCCTACTCAGTGATATCTTGCTTTGAATGCTAACAGACTAAGAACAATGTATCTCTAACGATTCAGCACCTTTCTAATTAGTGGAGATGATACATTAGATAACTCATTTACTGCCTTTGAATCTCTTTTGGGTTTAACCAGTAGTCATTCTTTACAAAAGGTTCTTTGGTCCATTTTTGCAAAGTTGTAAGGTCTTACTGTCAGTGTCCTGCTTTGAATGCTAGTGACTAAGAAAAGATGTCTCTCTGACGGTTCAGCTCATCAGCGAGATGAGGTTCTAATCATTGTCAATGAGACATTGCTGACACATTTACCGCCTCTAGGGTTGTTCCTTACTTAAAGATATCCATCCTTTTTTTAGTTTAGTTTGTGACCATTCTTAACCAAACATAGCTTAGTAGTCCATCTTGGCAAAGCGTTGAAGCCTACTTGGCGATGTCTTGCTTTGAATGTGAATGGACTAAAAATAAATGTCACTCTTAACTGTTCAGCACCTTGGCAAAATAGATGGGGTTCTGATGAGTGGAGATGAAACATTGAGTAATTCATTTACTGCCTTTTGATCTCTTTTGAGTTTAACCGGAAGTCATTCCATATGAAGGTTTCTGATGAGTGGAGATGAAACGTTAAGTAATTCATTTACTTCCTTTTGATCTCTTTTGAGTTTAACAAATAGTCATTCTTTATGAAGGTTCTTTAGTCCATCTTGGCAAAGCTGTGACGTCTCAAAGGCAATGTCCTGTTTTGATTGCTTATGGACTAAGAATAAATGTCTCTCTGACTGTTCAGCACCTTGGACAAATGGGGTTCTGATCAGAGGAGATGAGACAGTCAACATATATTCTGCCTTTTTCCTGTTTTGAGTTGAATTAGTGGTCGTTCTTTACTGAAGTGTTTTGTAGTCCATCTTAGCAAAGTGGTGAGCCTTAATTGGTAATGTCTTGCTTCAACTGGGTTGTCCTCAATGGAAAGGGCGCAGATCAGCAGAGATGTAAACATCTTAGTCAAAGATTACCAGACCGCTGAAACGATAGGTGGCTACTACAGCAGCTTTGGTGTACCTTTGTTGTGGTATCTGCCGAAGTGGTTGCAATTATTTGTGTACTTCATTGGTTTTGGCAGTAACCTGATTTAGTTTTTGGCAGACTTAAAGCAAATCTCTGTTATTTGGTTCTGCACTTCGGTATAGTGAAGTTGTTGAACAATACCAATAACATCACTCCCTCCGTTTCGAATTACTTGTCGCAGGTATGAATGCATCTAGATGTATTGTAGGTCTAGATACATCCATTTCTGCGACGAGTAATTTGGAACGGAGGGAGTACTATCTTTAACTGTCCTGTATAGTATGTCAATATCTTTTGGTTCTGCACTTTGGTATAGTGAAGTTGTTGTATAATGCATTCACGGCTATTATCTTTTCCTGTCTAGCCTGTATAGTATTTCGATATATTTGGATTAAACTATGTTTTTTAGATTTCCCTCATAAATATTTGATTTTGACGCTGAGCTGATCACTCTTTTAGAAGTAATGTGCTCATGTTCTCTGGTCCATTTGATTTTGCAGCTGAGCTATTTGTGAATGGAGAGATTGTTCAGAGGTCTCCGGAGAGGCAGAGAAGGGTGGAGCCTGTGCCGCAGAGAGCATCAGATAGGCCTAGGTACAATGACAGAACCCGCTACCAACGCAGGAGGGAGAACCAGCAGCGGTGATGAGCCAAGGTGCTCAATTGAAGATCAAAAAATAACAATCCCTGGTGGCTTCCGCCGGGTAAACTGAAAGGATAAATATCATCTACGGAATAGAAGAACTGCATGTTCACTGTATGCCAACACAAGTGTTTTCTTTTCTTCATGTTGGTGATTGCGCATCTTGGATGTATCAAACTAGTTATTAGAGAGAGCTTGGAAGTATTTGGAATTGCATCTTTGTCGTTAACTATACAGTCATGTGCCCTTGTAAATCTGATTTGCTGAATAAACTGCTATGTTTGTTCATTCTTAGTTGCTTAAATTTTCTGTCAATCTTGTTCACCTAAAACTGCATACTCGTAAGATAAAATTTGCACCAATAGAGTTATCCAAGTTCAGCGAAATGTTGGTATGACCTTTGGATTGTGTGTCATGTATGGAGTGGATGGAGGTGGGCATTGTTGAATTGTGGATCCAGAAGCTTATTTAAGAAAGTTCCAAGCAAACAGCTCCTCACAAAAATTTAAATCCCAGTTTATACAGGAACTGAATTGTTCTTGTGAGCCAAAATTCGGGCATTCCAACCATGAGACCTGTACTATGTGTACGCAGAGACTAAAACTGTACCTTCAATAACAATACAGGTGTATGCTGCATCAGGAAGATGGAAGAACGTGAGATCCAAATCAAAAGAATTCATAGCACCTGCGGCAACCATTTGCAAATTTATACACAACAGTTTTTGTAAGGATCTAGTGAAGCAATGAATTTAACTATTATTGCCAAATGTAGCATATAAAGTGCGAGGCATGGTACATATACACAATAAAGAATCAAGTGAGGTATCCATGAATAATGTAGCTACAGTACCACCGTTTCAACGGAAGAAACTGAAGAAGCGGCAGTTAAGCTAAGGTCCGCAGTATGCACATACATGAACTGCACCGTATAATCACCTACCAACTAGTAGCAACTGATCGATGCGGATGAAACTGGTAAGAAAAAAAAAAGGTATGCCGTATGAACTTCACCGATGATGCTTTACAAATTGCAAATTGCAAATTGCTGCAGTGGCTCAGACAAATGGAGGGAGGACTTTGAGGAAAGAACTAAAAAATCTGCACAAATGATTCACTTCACAGCTGAGGAAGTGTCATCGAGCACGGGAACTACGGCAGCGGAGGGTTCGATGTGCGAGAACCGTGCGGCGCCTATGAGTTGCTCCGGGAGCTCATCGTATGTGTTTGCCTGCAGGTGTAACAATAGTCAAAGAAATAATTAATTCCTTTGAAGTGGAATCTCAAAGACTTTGGCAACTATGATGGGGGTGATTTTACCTGTATGAGGAAAGCCATATCGACTACCAAGCTGGTAACTACACCAAAGACCAATCCCAGAACACCATTGGCTACTGCTGAGGATCCAATGTCTACATCAACCTGCACAAGAACGGGTGCATCAGAATGTAGACCCTGTGTGCCATAGATGACCAGAAGAATGCAGTGTTTATGCCTCGGTTATAACATCAACTGTTCCACTTACAATGTACTTTGATATTTTTTCCAATGGAAGTATTTTTTTTTGTCAGTAAAATTAGAGCCTTACTTCAATGTACTCCGGGCCACGCATGTAGCTGCAATCAACGGCCTTTCCCAATAAGCAAGGGGTACTTCCAACGCTTTGTCGCACTATCCAAGATCCCTGAGGAAGTCAATATGCTAGAGTGAGCAAAGCTAACATCAATGCACTAGAACGAATATGCATTAAAAATTAACACCTTTGGAACAGATGGGATAAGCTTCAGTCTGCTGTTCCGGAAATCATCGTCGCCATCGGCAAAACGCTGCAACAGCGATCCTTTTTTCAAGGATTTTGTGACGAAGTAGAGGATCAAACTGTGATGAGTTGACCCGGGAATCTGCAAAAGCATGCTGACTTAATGTACATGGAAGATAATTACTATTTTCAGAGGGTGCACAATGGTCATAAGATCAAGAAATAGAGGTTAAAACCATGCAGTGTATAATGTTAACCATACAAAAATTGCAGAACAGTATTTTGCATCTGTTCTCGTTTGTAATGTTTTATGGGACTATCACCACTAGGATGCTAAGAACAGATTCCTGAGCAAGCACTTTGTCAAAGTCAGAACCAAAAGTTCAAAAAATATAGTGCAAATGGAAATGACTGATACTTTCTGCAGTGCGCATGGTCACTGTTATTCTATAGAAAAAGCCCAAGAAGGGGGCAGAAAGAAATGAGCCGTGTGAGGAGTGAAAGAACTGGAGCTTACTTGTATGTTTACTACAAAGCTGAACATCCCCTTCTCAGCAGCAACCTACAGTTGTACAAGGTTCCAGGCAAAATCAATACATAAGAGTAGAACTTGGGGATTTAGTACCTCCCTTAAGTTCATGCATAGAGGCATACATTTACAGTGCTAACAACGTGCATGGGTTCTCATGCTAGCACAATAATGTGGTGCCGAGCTTTCACAAACATTCAGTATATTTTACATGATAAAAGACCTAGCTACTGGTATGCAAAGTACAACTATATGAAGCTTCCACAGTTCCACAAACTATATCAAGCTTCTAATAGTCAGTATCATTATACCATGAATGAAAGAAAATGATAGTGTGAGGTTTAAGAAAACAGAGAAAACGAGTATCTATTTATTTAATTGTAGTTCTGCACACACAAAAAGACAGTAATACTAAAGTATTCCAAATGCTGCTTTGCAGGTTAAGACAATGGGTGGTTCATGCGCTGACACAATCATATTGCAAGAATTACGAAAACAATTCAACTGAGATAAAATAGACAGTTAATTAACCATACTAATTTACTTACCTGAGCAGCACATCCTTTACGCTTGGCGACATGATCCATACGCTTGGTATCCTTAAACCAGTCAGCTGCAACAAGCTCCATAAGGTACTTGCCTGCAGATACCTGAAACTCAAATAACAACATAATAAGCTATTGATAATCTGCTTCTTCGAAAACAAGAAAAGATGTTGAACATTTGGACCTTTGATTTGTCATGTGAAAAGTTCTTGCTACGGACTTTGAAGATATTGCTATCAGGTACTGACCAACTGTTACGGCTTTTCTCATTTGCATCCTGACGAATAATGCCCGAAAAGCTGGACAAATCTATTGGATCTGGATCACCCAATATGATGCAAAGGAGTGAGATTAGAGTTGGGTGGTCATACAGGTAATTTGTACAGATATTGGAATACAAGATGCAGTTGGGTAAGAAACGAACCAGAGCCCTTTGCGTCACTGTCAACATTGCCATCTTCCTGTACATGAATTGCAATGAGATTTTAGCATAGTGTACCAACAGATAACTTCTTGTAAACAAAGGAATAGCTCTGGTCAGGGTTATCACCTCCAAGCTAGATTCGGGAGCTTGAAAGTCATCATCATCTTCTGACTCATCATCTATCATATCCGAATTTTCGTTAGCCGAGTCTGCTTGTTTGGTCTTTGAGTCAGCCTTTTGATGTTTCTGATCCTTTCTAAAAGTGGGCACACTAGCCATAGTATTCATCACAGGAATCCTCGGAATTGTGTGAACGTCATCATTTTGGGAAAAGTATTCACGCAATCCTGGAAATATATACAAATGCCGAACAATCACGGACTATTAACAAAAAGGAATACTGAAATGAGCGGTTATGACAAGATTTTTTTTTTATCAACAGGTATTCAATTCATGCCATAACAAGTTACAAGAGTTGTTACCAGCAACGCAGTTCAGCATCTGCAGCACAGAGTGGTACTGGAATGATGTGACGTAATTCACACCCCATCCTTTGAGATCAATTTGCATAAGGTGTTGAACTTGAGTGCGAGGTCTTCCATTCACGGGTTTGAGAGGAGTGATCTTGAAACCTCCACCTGAACTAATAGGAAGTTCAGGAAAAGATAAAAGTGACAAAACCTGTTTTTAAATATCTCAAGATGAGTAGGATTTCTAACAAGAAGGCAAATTACTTTCAATAGAAGCCCTCGCAAATCCTGGTTGGGAGCCACAGTTCGGGTGTTCAGTAGATCGAAACAACACAACTGCAAGTTTAAACATGAAGCATCAAACAAGATGCTTTAAATGGATGATGTAACTAGAAATAAACTTACTCTAAAGCTTACCATAACTTCCATCATCGTTGCGCCGCCAATATCGTACATAACAAAGATCTCGTGGCCAGACAATCCTGCAGGCTCAGTTGTTTACACAAGGAAGAAAATCTGAGCTAATGCAATGTAATATACATATTAAAAACTTAGAATCCATAGCGGCCTTATGGTTCTGCCACATAGACATGCAGCTTTGTAGTCGTCTACCAAAGTAAGCAGACGAGTCGCCTATTCGTTGCTGTCATGTGGTACATTTTATATCTCACCCCTGCTGCCAGCTCCTCTGGTAAGTTGGTTTCGCTTCATTGCCATTCATTTCACTTTCACGTTTACGCAGCAGGCTTAAGTGTGGATACAGAGACCTACTATATATGATCAGCGTAAACTATACAGCATGGCTGCTTATTGCCAGATAGTGGAGTATCCAGCCACCAAAAAGTGCAAAATACTGAATTTGCTACTGAGTCCAGATAATGCCAATCCTACAATGCTACAGTATATGATATAAAAGCCAAATTTCGAAGTCTCGAATTCAGATTTAAACGAGTCAAAGTCCATGCTCAGATAGTTCATTGACCTGCCAGGGTTATCCAGCCTACTCTTGTTATTTTAATAGGAGTTTCAAGTTGTAGCAGCAAGCCAGCACCAGGTAAAAGACTTACAATTCAACCATCATGCAATTTGTTGATACAACAAAAAGGTACTTACATTGAACACCAATTCAGCTGTAGCCGATGATATAGTATTGCAGTGTGACCATCAACCTCTTCAACTAAACTCCCATACTGGAAGCTACAATCCCACCTACATTGGAGTGTAAAGAAAACCTAGATCAACATACATATATCAATATATGGGCAAGCAGAAAGTAAAGGAGTACACACTTACTCATATCTTGTTACATCCATACTCATTATCAGCCCAAAAATGGCTTCACATGTGGCTTCCACGACACCAACAGCCCTCATTGATCGGCTACAGCTTCTTGCCTGCACATGGCATTTTTTTTTGTTTGTAAATATATCCTCTGGTTAGCAATTAGCAGGGGTTTCAGCACCTCTCCAACATTAAATCAGTATAAAAGAAAGTACATACAAGGTATTCGACCTCCACAGGTTCTTCAAAGATGCGCAACCCTGCCAATGATAAAAACAAGATACTAAATTTAATTCCATATGAAACAGGTATGGCCTCTTACGGATGTTACAGATCTATGTAAGGAACTAAAAAACTTGCCATTCTGGCATCTAAGCAGCCGCCAGTTCTTTCTAGAATTAGCTTGATTGGTGTCGTTCTGATTTGACAGACCAATATCAGGCTCTTTGGTCCAGTCATGTACAGAATCAGGAAGGCCTAGAAGAAGAAATGGCATATTTAAAAGTCAAAATCATTAATATAAAATAATAGATTTTGGCAGAAAATGAGTAACCAAACTTCCTACCCTTCCCTATAGTTGTCCTACGAAGCAGAATGGGACGGGGTTCCTCTTCGTCTTCAGGTCTACAAGAGAATATCATTTCCAATTAAGTATTAACCGGAAGAACTAATCTACAATTACAAGTACGAAGATTCACTTGCCCACTATCAGGGTCAGAGAATGAAAGCGGTCCTCCAAGATCCATGTCAAAGTCCAGTGACGCAAAAGCTTTACGGTTTTTAGCTGTCATAGTGTCCTGTTGCTGCATAATGAAGACCTTTATCAGAATGGAATATGGTGTTCGCCTGTTGTAGTTATACACAATTTGGCACTGAGTTCTTCTGGGTAATTATCCACTATGTGACTTAATACATATTCGTTGGTGCATTGCAAACTCCGGAAATTTACCAGTTACCAGTGTTTTATGGAATCTACGAGGGAAGAACAATGGAGTGTATATACAGTCTAGCTAACTAAATGTTATTCACTTGCACACAATGACCAAACGAGTAAATAATAATAAAAAACGCCCATGATGTCTGATTATATAATGTTTACAGCAATTGACATATGCAGTTACAGTTTTTCAGACCTGCTACACCTGATTACCTGATTGATAAGGAGCTCTATCTTCTTTTTCCACACTAGGGCCTCCTCGATATTACGTGCACCCATCTGGTTGAAGAATGATAGGAACATGAATGATGGACAGTAATAGCAATGGTTTACTATATACTCATGAGAAGAAGTACTGGACTGAGAAGATTGCCAAAAAAGGGAGTCCCCCATTTCAAAATTGCCAAACTTCAGCACATAAGTTGCATAACATTCACTTCATTATCAAGCAGAAGTAATACTCAGTCCCATTTTGAAAAGCTAGAACAAAGGAAACATTATTTAATATATAAGCAGACCCACGTGATGAGTATATTATTGCCTTTTGAGGCTAAAAGAGGTATATCATTTCATTTGCAACTAAATTATAGTCATGAAAATGGTGCTACTATTCTGCCTTCCTATTTTCCATTGCAGTATATTGTAGTGGTAACAACAATATCTAGCAAAGAAAAATATGTTCCAAATGTAGGAAAAGGCACATGAATTAATATGGATGTAGTCAGATGGTTCTAAATTCTGATAACATTGAAGAACTCGGCATTGTAACGAACCGTGATTGGATTGTCCTTTTCTTTCTTGTTGTAAACACAGAGAACGTAAACCATCTGCGAGAGCAAGATAATGAGTAAATGTGTGGATGACAGTGCAAAATTAGAATACACATCAAAATTCATGCATATGCTGGAATATGCACATATATATGGATATTAACCGTACAGCAATGTCTGATAATTTGGCTAAATTGATCAACTGTGCCGAAGTAGACACAATATATTACCATTTTAAAATTTCCAATTTGATATGTTGTGTGTTCACTTTGTATGTTTTACCTGTTAACATAACAGTTTACACAAATGATCAAAATTATTATATGTCAGTTTGTAGGTGAAATACATGCCACACTATTTGTTGGCAATCCTATTCTGCTCAGAAGTACAATCCTCAAAAGTAAGGATACCAATTTTTCTGACTCTAATGGCAGAGATTTTATTCAAGATTAAAAGCTAACGACAAGTGAATTTCATGTGCAAGGAACTAACACACCTAGTGCTCTCGACCAGCATTAATTGGCACGCTCATTCTATAAGGCATATAAGCATATTACTATTTGATGAAGTAAACAAAAGGGAAGAGCGGACTTACTTGTCCATGATGTGTTTTAAGCCCTCTATCCTCCACTCTGCAGTTCCCATCTACGTGAAGAGACTTAAGTGGCACCTGCACATCCACAAGATTTGCTCCAGAAAGTTAAATGCAAGCACCATGCCCCTGTTGCGGAATATACCACTCAAACAATGTACTGGTATCAAATTGTCACGTTTTTTTCATTGTATTGGAAACCTCTTGCTAAGGCTCGAACAAAGAGGAATGCAGCTAACTGAAACTTGTCGGTTCCCACAGAAACAGGGGAATTTGTTCCAAGCACTCTTACCCTTAACCCCATCTATGTGCTGTCCATCTATGAAAACAGCACCTTACAAGATAACAGTAGACTCTATTATTGGAACAGTAAAAGAGGTCATCCATGTGCTCCAGGCACATCAAGCAAGTTGCTCACATGATTCACAGGAAAAAGAAAAACCCCACAAATTCAAAGAAAAAGCGCTTAGTCAAGAGCAGTTTAACTTATAATGAAAAAATTCGTTCAGCTTCAGAGTTTACAACTGACACCAGCTCACTGCACGAGGAAACATTGAATTCAACCCAGCAGATCCTGGCCTAACTATGGCACCGAACTGCTCTCCGCCCAAAGTTATTTACCGCAAGTAGAACTGACAACCGATTGAATCCCCCGATCGCCCTCCCCCGCTCCACCCAAATTGGCCAGAGCGCACCACGAGCTCGGAAAAATCCCGCTGAAAACTCGCCGGGGAGCAACCGGAGCTCTCCCCGGAAGGTGGACCGCGACCCCAACGACTCCGACAAGCTAATAACTGCACAGTATGGAGCTCTGAAGCTGTGGAGCACCTACCATGTTGTTGTCCTTGGGCTGCTTCTTGTAGTAGGCGAGGAGCTTGTTGTCGAGCACGAAGTAGCGGGTGTGGAAGAAGGACCTCCCGATCTTCCGCCGCCCGTACCGCACCATCCACCCCTCGTGCCGCACCGCCGCGGCGTCGGCGCCGCCCATGGGCGGCAGCAGCAGCTCCCCGCTCCGCGCCTTCGCCGCGGCCGTGGACGGGGCGGGGGCCGGCCTCGGGGGAGGGGCGTCCGCTCCGCACGTCCGCCCGAGCTCTCCGCTCCTCGAAGCCGACGAGCTCATCGTCCTCGGCCCGCGTGGGGGTGGAGCTCGGTCGTCTGTCTCGCCTCGGCGGCCTGGTCAGTGAGCCATTGCCCGGGTAGGCGGGGAGGAGGAGGAGGAGACGGGGAGCCCTGGGGTAGGCCGGCAGCCGGAGTCCGGCGAGGCGAGGCGCGGCGGCGGAGGAGGAGGGGGGAGCGGGGAGAGGACGGCGGCGAGAGTTTGTTTTTGTTTCTTTCGGAAATCCAGGCGGGGATAGCTAGACCGGAATTAATTACTGTAGTCTTAAATAAAATCCACTAAATTATTGATTTTTTTAGGGACCCTAAATTATTGATTTCGTGTTGGCAGCTTTTGTTTCCAGCTCTCCTACTACTGCTTCTCCTTTTGCTACTTTTCTCTGTAGCACCTCGTGTCTAAGTCAAATTACTCGTTGTGCAGTCCGCCCCTCTTCCTAAGATTTTGGGAATTCTTCCCTTTCCAGTTGCAAAGTGTAGAGTGTAGTACATACTTAAAAAAAAGCAGAGCTGTATTATAAAAGTTTGCTGCAAGTACAAAAACACGCAAAAAAATATAATGAACCGAGGTTCTTGGACCATCGAACGACCACTATTGTCCGTTGACGCACCGATGCCATCACTTCTGTACCGGAGCCGGCTTGTCTTTGTCGATGACATCTAGGAGGTCTTCGTGCTCGTGCCACTAAGGACTAGCGCCTCGGAACCGCAGTCGTAATCATTGAACCCTTGAATCGATCTTTAGTGTCTGATACTAGATTTCATCGTCGCGCATGTATGATGAAAACCCTAACCTTGCCGCTCTAAGAGGACGGTTGAAATTTGTGTCGAAGCTTCGTTACTCATCCTGGCAGACAAATTTGAGGAGGATAGATTTCTGGAAGACCAACTCAAAGATGAAGCGCCGCCCATGCAAGGATTAAAAAACGCTAAACTAAACTACTAACCGGCTCTGAACCACCGGAATTGCCGTTCTCGCCACCAGCCGCCGAAGTGACGGGCAGAGCGGAGGAGAATCTACGGGCTGGTTGGTGAGAGGGAAGAGAACCCCGCCTTAGTGCCTACGCGTCAGGGGAAGGAAAAGATGTGTGGCCTTCTAACCCATATCGTCCTAACAATGCACTCTTAGATCTTAGACGGTACATTGTTACGTGTGTTGCGCTTTAGAATAAATGAATATCACGTATACTTGTGTGAAAATAAGGAACTTAACATAGCCGACAATTGTGTTTTCTATATAAAATAGTATAGATGTGGATCAACTTTATCTATTAATTGAAAACATGTCATCTACCTCTCTTAACTTTTATAAAACATTTTAGGTCTTCAGGTTTACAGAGGCGGCGGCGGCGGGGGGGGGGGGTGGTTATTGGTGTACTCCACTTTCGATGGCATGTCGTGCCGCCCAGTGGCGAATCTACAAAAAAATAGGCCTTGAAAGTAGTAGTCAAGGCTAATCTTCTATATCTAAATATGAAAGGATCGATATAGTTGACTAGAGGGGGGTGAATAGGCAACTACCAATTTTTAGCTTTTCTTTACCAAATTAACCTTTGCATCAAAGTAGGTTGTCTAGATGTGCAACTAGGTGAACAACCTATGTGATGCAACAACAACAAGCACACAAGCAAGCAAGGGAACAAACACTAAAGAGCTTGCACAAGTAAAGGTAAGAGATAACCAAGAGTGGATCCGGTGAAGACGAGGATGTGTTACCGAAGTTCCTTCCTTTTGAGGGGAAGTACGTCTCCGTTGGAGCGGTGTGGGGGCACAATGCTCCCCAAGAAGCCACTAGGGCCACCGTATTCTCCTCACGCCCTCACACAATGCGAGATGCCGTGATTCCACTATTGGTGCCCTTGAAGGCGGCGATCGGACCTTTACAAACAAGGTTGGGGCAAACTCCACAACTTAATCGGAGGCTCCCAACAAGACCACGAAGCTTCACCACAATGGAATATGGCTCCGAGGTGACCTCAACCGTCCAGGGTGCTCAAACACCCAAGAGTAACAAGATCCGCTAAGGATGAGTGGGGGAATCAAAAATCCCTTAGTGGAAGTGTAGATCTGAGCCTTCTCAACCACTCCCGAGCAAATCAACAAGTTTGATTGGCTAGGGAGATAGATCGGGCAAAAGGAGGCTTGGAGTATTTAATGGAGCTTGAGCAATAAATGGTGCTTGGGCAATAATGAAGCTTGGGGGAAGAGGTAGGTCAAAAGGGGGAAGAAGACACCCTTTTATAATGGAGGGAACAATCCAACCATTACCCCCCACTCAGCCCCGCAGAGAGCGGTACTACCGCGGGGGCAGGACGGTACTACCGCTCATAAGCGGTACTACCGCTCCCCCTCAGCGGTACTGCCGCGCTAGAAGAGAAGGGGCTGGGGCTGGGACCCAGAGCGGTACTACCACGGAGGCAGGGCGGTACTACCGCTCACAAGCAGCACTACCGCCACTACTACCGCAGCTAGTACCGTAAAACCCGACACGAGAAAATGCGCACTCGAGTCGAGGTGGTAGGAGCACGGAGCCGCAGCGGTACTGCGGCTGAGGCCATCAAGTGGTACTACCGCTCCGAGGAGCGGTACTACCACTTACTGAGCTTCAGCCGTACTACCGCTATACTGCAGCTAGTGCCGTAAATCCCAGACACGAGAAAGAGCGCACTAGGGTCGAGGCGGTAGGAGCAAGGAGCCGCAGTGGTACTGCAGCTGAGGCCATCAAGCGGTACTACCGCTCCGAGGAGCGGTACTGCCGCTTAGTAAGCCTCGGGTCCAGGAAAAGACACACAGGGGAGAAAAGAGAAGCTCCAGAGAGGCGGAAAGAAATGGTGGGTGTGAGAAGGACGTGTACATGTTGATTCCACCCAAACCATACCGAAGAAGATCCCCTCTTGATAGTACGGTGACTACTACGAAACTTAATCCACCAACAATGTCACGAAAGAAGCTACACCGTCTTGAGTGGAGCGCCGAGGGGAAATAATCGTTTCGTGCCGAAAGATGAATATCTGAAAGAACTCAAAGCACCCGATTAGTCCGCAAATGCATTGTCATCAAACACCAAAACACCGTAGGCATAAATATGCCCTTACAATCTCCCCCTTTTTGGTGGATTGATGACAATACGGGATTTGCACAGAAAAGAGTAATGACATAGAATGCAAGAGAACCCACGCCTCTTAAAATATAGACAGGCTCCCCCTAGATGTTGTGCACACTAGATAAGTGCTTTGGACTGCACGGCACACATACTAGGATCACGGCTCCCCCTATATTTTAGAGACCAACAACCTAAGCAAGATATATGAGAACACATATATGATAGGATAAGCATGCAAGTTATAAGAAACTGAGGTGCATAACACATAGATAAGATAACAAAGGTAGCATATGTCTTACACCATATGTCTGGAACTTAGGTCTCACAACAAACCAAACCAGGAGAAACGCACAGGAAACCACAAGACTAAAACAAAGCACGACACAAGAGGCAAAACAAGCAAATCCCTACACTCTCTCCCCCTTTGGCAGCGAGACACCAAAAAGGGCAGAGAGGGACACTACGACTCCAGGTGATCATCACATCTCTGCATCTTCATCGTGAGTTGAAAACTGCTCGGCATCGGAGTCGGTCCAGTGGCAGTTCTGATGAATCCAGTCCTCTTCTTCAGTGATCTGTCCCTCAGACCCACTGACAACTGTGGCGCCCAACTGATGCATGATCTCCTTGTGGCGCGTCCTGGCATTCTTCTCCGCCACATGAGTCAAGTACTGACCATGGGACTCCATGCAGAAGAGCTTCTTCATCTTGCGCTTGAGCTTCTGGGCCCATGATGGTCCTGCACTGGAGTGGCCAAAGTCCTCATTATGGGCATCAGTAGCAGCCTCACCCTCAGTTCCCATGGCAGCAGCAGCAGCAGACGGGCCCCCTGTGGCAGCAGTAGTAGAAGGACCCCCTGTGTGAGGCGCTGTCCAGTTGTCCTTCTTCCTCAGACGCTTGATCTCATGAGAAACAAAATCTCCAGTTTCTAGCAGCACTCTGGGATAAGTCTGTGCCCAGGCCCTCTCAATGAGCCTCATGATGAAGGGACCATAGATGGGACACTTGCGCTCAGACACGGCAGACAGAAGTTCAGACCACATGACATGAGAGATATCCAGGCTCTCTCAAGTGTTTGCTTCCTTCTCATGCTGACAGAAAAGGAGCATGTCCACGAGGTAGGAGTGGACCTGATCCAGATTCCCAATGCGAGGGAAGAGAGTCTCACGGAATATGCGATGAAGAATGTCCAGATACGGATACAACTCGTAGGTCTTCTTCTCAGTGACAGGGTGAACCTTCACAGTGCAGTAGGGCCAAAGGGCTTGCTTGTGGGTGCATGTAACATTGCGGTGAGGACGGAAACCGACAGGAGTCTCAAGCCCGTTATCCACCACATCAAGTAACTCCATGAACGCCCGCCACTTGACAGAAAGCCGCTTGCCATTGGTCATCCAAGTCAGAGTCCTGTCGCCATCTGTTCCAAGATGGACGGTGGCATAGAATTGAGCCACCAAATCCGCATCGAAGTCCTTGTTGAACTGCATGATCCTGAGAATGTTCAGCTGAGTGCACATCTGAAGGGCTTCTCCAAAGTACTCTGGGTCCTTCTCCATAGCATCAGTGTCAATGGAGCGAACATCAACAAACAGATTCTTCTTGGCCTTGATCACATCAAAGTAGATGGCAAACTGAAAACGGTTCCAGAACGGGCGGTTGACCAAAGTGGGTTCTTGGTCCACCGCATAGGGGTTGCGGCGACGCTTCTCCCAAAACTCCTTGTTGTTCATCTCAGCCACAGTCTTCCCTTTTGGCTTGTTGGCGACTCGCTTCGATTGTTGTGGAGGTGGAGGAACACTTGCAGAAGCACTTGCTGGAGGCGGTTGGGTGCTTGAGGAACCACCGGCAGGCTCTGAGGTCCGGTAGCGCTTGGAGGTGGCACGCCCGGGGTTGATACGGCGACC